TTTGTTTTTCTACTATGATTTTCGAATACTTCATAAAAAATTGTGCAACTTTTGTATTCCGCATTTTTTATGACTAAAAACAAAAAAATTATGAAGGGTCAAGATAGAGTGAATCACCCCCTATATTTTAAGAAAGCTGTTTAATGATTCAGTTTAAATTAATATTCTATATTAATTATGAATGTACTATATATTTGTTATGTATAATTTATATTTTACTCTAGGGAAATAGTCGTATATAAAAAAGTATATTCTTAGTAGAAGTGTTACAATGTAATAATGCACAAATTTTTCTATCTTAAAAATATTGAGTAGTTTCTTCATAAACATACATTTTAGGTATTTTTGTATTGTACTTTCGTTACAGTTCTCATTAGTTTCGCAAATTGTCATTAATAAATTAGTTTTGTTGATTCTAACGATTTTAAGATGAACAAGATGTACAGTTTTGATGAACAAACCGATACTTTATTAGTTCTAGGATGTTGTGAAGGAGACTGTAAACTGGTAAATTTAAAATTAACAGAACTAATGCTTTGTGAGTATTGATAGTGAGCGACAACTGTAAAATAGTATTTTAGATGATGTTCACAATTTAATTTTTTTGTATTATAGAAAACAATGCGCGTGCGTGCGTGTTGGTGTGCGTGTGGGTGTGCGTGCGCGTTTGCGTGTGCGTGTACGTGTGTGGGTGTGCGCGCGGTTTTGGGTTCATTTAATTAGTGAAATTTGAAATAGTAGTTTTAAAGAAATACAGATTAATAATTGTGGAACTTTCAATATATGTGTTCTTTATTATTTATCTTTTTGAAGTAGGTACCTAGCCAGTTGTTAAATTTATAAATTTAGTTTTTTTACACATAACGAAATTTTTAATTTTACCAAAGAAAGATATAATGATGCTTTAGTGCAACACAAAAATTGCAAAATAAGTAACATGTAACATGATTGTTTCATTTTTCATTAACTGGCAAATCACATTGAAACAACATAATAGCAATATTTTGAATTACTTTATATTCGAAAGATATTTTATCTCTTTTGGGAGTAGTAGTATATTTTATTTGATAGTAGTTTTGGGTCTTGAGGAGCCAGGTGACCCTCCCCCAGCTACGTGCCTGCTATTACATGCAGATAAATAAAATTTGTAAGGTTATATCGGCTGTTAAAGTGCACAAAAACTATACAAAATATGCAGATGGCAAAGAATTTCATTATGTAAAAAAAATCCTCCACTTATAATATTGACAAATGAGTTCTTCGAGTATAAGATATAAGGATAAACATTCCAAGTTAAAAACAAAAGTACTGCTTACAACAAAAAAAAAATTAAAAATTAAAAAATTGTTATCATTGTTATTAAATTATTGGCTTTGTTTCTGTACGAAAATTTAAATTTAGTGGATACAAATAGACCCATTTACTTTTTACATTAACATATTTTCTAAAATCACAAATACAAGTTTTTTCAAATTTGATGCAAACCCTCTAGCAGTCACCGCATCTATAGTTAAGTTTTATGTTTGTCATTACATTCAAAATCTTAAAATTTATTATAGCTTCTTAACATGTTAGATATTTAAGTTCAGTTTAGTTCAGTACCAATGGCTTCCGTTTTAATACATCTATTTTGTGACAAAGTTTTAAGCATAGCAAAAATATTGTAAATTCAGTAAACCCAGATATGTATATTTCGTCCCTATTATCACGTAGAGGCGTATGTGTATATCCATTTCTTGGATTATACGCGTGATAAGAGGGACGATTTATTTAACTATTATATTGGAAATCCCTTATCTAACTAGATATAGATAATACATTACATAAATATAAACAAATCATTTTCATTCTATTAGGAAACGGAATATGTACCTGTATGCGATATATTTTGTTTCAAATCTTTTGGATAACAGAACGAAACTTTCGTTCGAAAACGACGTGACTTTCCATTTCCTCTAATCCAGGTTAAAACTGGATTTCTCTGAGGCAATTCAAAGTATTAAACGTTAACTGACTTATCATTAATAATAATTAAGGAATTATGTGAATATGTTTTTGCATAGTAAAATTAATTAATTAACTAATTATAGCGATAAGGATTATGAATGGATAAGAATAGTAGTAGTAGTAGTAGTAGTAGTAGTAGTAGTAGTAGTAGTAGTAGTAGTAGTAGTAGTAGTAGTAGTAGTAGTAGTAGTAGTAGTAGTAGTAGTAGTAGTAGTAGTAGTAGTAGTAGTAGTAGTAGTAGTAGTAGTAGTAGTAGTAGTAGTAGTAGTAGTAGTAGTAGTAGTAGTAGTAGTAGTAGTAGTAGTAGTAGTAGTAGTAGTAGTAGTAGTAGTAGTAGTAGTAGTAGTAGTAGTAGTAGTAGTAGTAGTAGTAGTAGTAGTAGTAGTAGTAGTAGTAGTAGTAGTAGTAGTAGTAGTAGTAGTAGTAGTAGTAGTAGTAGTAGTAGTAGTAGTAGTAGTAGTAGTAGTAGTAGTAGTAGTAGTAGTAGTAGTAGTAGTAGTAGTAGTAGTAGTAGTAGTAGTAGTAGTAGTAGTAGTAGTAGTAGTAGTAGTAGTAGTAGTAGTAGTAGTAGTAGTAGTAGTAGTAGTAGTAGTAGTAGTAGTAGTAGTAGTAGTAGTAGTAGTAGTAGTAGTAGTAGTAGTAGTAGTAGTAGTAGTAGTAGTAGTAGTAGTAGTAGTAGTAGTAGTAGTAGTAGTAGTAGTAGTAGTAGTAGTAGTAGTAGTAGTAGTAGTAGTAGTAGTAGTAGTAGTAGTAGTAGTAGTAGTAGTAGTAGTAGTAGTAGTAGTAGTAGTAGTAGTAGTAGTAGTAGTAGTAGTAGTAGTAGTAGTAGTAGTAGTAGTAGTAGTAGTAGTAGTAGTAGTAGTAGTAGTAGTAGTAGTAGTAGTAGTAGTAGTAGTAGTAGTAGTAGTAGTAGTAGTAGTAGTAGTAGTAGTAGTAGTAGTAGTAGTAGTAGTAGTAGTAGTAGTAGTAGTAGTAGTAGTAGTAGTAGTAGTNTAATAATAATAATTAATAATAATTAATAATATTTAATATTTTTCTTTATAAATAAATTTGGCGAAAAGAGCATATGCAATATTTTTGACACTGTCGTTTCAAAATGTCATTTTATTCAAAATATTTGGTTTTTATATATAATTTTGTTAGATTAAGGCCCGGTACTTTGAGTCTCGGTTAAGGCTCGATTAACTAATCAGGCGATTAGACTGTGATTATACTTATATCATTATATGTACAGTCTAATCGCCTGATTAGTTAATCAAGCTTTAACGGAGACTAATATTTATTAATTTCATAGGAAAGGACCTGTTGAAACAATCCTAAGAAAATAAAAAGGTTGCAGCTGTAGTAGCTCCTTTATTACGTGTTAGTCTTTGTCAAGGCTGATGATAAAACAGCAAAAATACAAGACACTTTGAATGATTATATTATTTATCAATTTCAATATTTTAGGTATGTGTTTTGTATGAATTATATTTAGTTATATCATTTTTAGTTTTTATTTTAACAAATTTTTTATTACTAGCTGTTTACTACGTATTGCTGATGTAATTCAAAGCTGGTAGGGGCACGTAGCCTATAGAAGGCAAGTTAGGTATTGACATCTAGATGCTCTACATATATCTCTTTGTCTTTTCATCTATTACAATTAGAAAAGAACAAAACACATCTGGAGCGTCTAGATGTTAATACCGAAATAACCTTGAGTAGTTGTTTCCCGTAATATCAGCAGTTGTCTGTGCTTTTTAGAAAACAATTTGTTTGAATAAGCTTAATACTTTTAAATTAGAGATAGAATACATGTTTTTTGAAAAACCTGACAGAATTGAATGTTTCTTAAATGAATAAATAAAAAATTTCTGTACCTAAATTAAGGCATTGGGTTAATAATAATAATACTATTACTTCATTCATTCAGTTTAAAACGGTTAAAAATATAAATTAACTACATTTTCAAATAAATAATAATGATTTTCAAGTTAAAAAATAATTTAAAGAAACGATTTATCCTTGTGGCAAAAACAACTGAAATTTGCTTGACACGTTACTTAATTCGTTGAAGGTTTTCTGGTAATATTTACTTGAATTGGACCAACCAACGCCCTAAATAAATTTTAGATTCTAATAGAAAGATCGTTAACTAACAAGGTCTTCTGATGTGTCAAGGAAGATTTTTATTTACGGGATATTTAAGCCAGCTTTGAAAAATGGTCATAAAATATTTAATAAATTTAGAAATACTTGTCTCAGATAAGTTTAATAAGTCATAGGTATATTAAAAGTAGTCATATAAATAATTATGTCTACTGTTAAAAAGAAAAAGTGCTAGTTACTTTCTAATTTGCCTAAGAACACACTAGTTACTAAAATTATTATGTATGATTATGAATTAATATGAAATAAGTAAATACAATAGATATTAAAAGTGTTCAATTAATAAATATATGTATATAACTTGGGATTAAAGATTATGTAGCAAAAATATGATATTATTTCGTTTAATAAAGTTTTGGAGATGAGATTTGACTTTAATTAAAGATCTTATTGGTGTATGTTAGACAATAGACATGCTTCTATTTGGTTGGCAATTGTGCAGCCAATAGCAAATTTTAATAGGTTTACTATACCTGTTAAAATTTACGTTCGCATTGAATATAGTAAGCTAAATTTTAAATTTTAAAAAGGAACAAAATGTATCCATTACTATGTTAAATAAATTAAAAACTAGTCTAATTAATTATACAGTTTTTAAAACGAAAAAGTTGAAATTAGGCAATATTGAAGAAAAAGAACGTTACGCATACGATTAATTAATTGTAAGCGGCCTCTAATCCTAAAAAAATGTGGAACGCCGCAAAGCACTTTCACTAAAAATGTGAACCAACTGGTATCTGTAGTAATAACTTATAAATGTATCGAAATGTATCTGTAAGATAGGACTTATTATGAACGTATAAAAATGACTTTATTATAAAATATAAAATATAAGAACTGACCAAAAAGAACAGACAGTGGTATAACATACTGGCATTTGCGTGAAAACTGTCACACACGTATTGCACTAGTAAATATCACACAAACACTGACCGACCTCTCTATCGAATCCGAGCACACCGGTGCGTTTGGTGGCTGTAAAGGTAGGCGTACCCCGCCAGCAGAAGTCAGAGGTCGCATTCAATGCAAGGTTGTGCGTGTTACGTGTAATCCACTTATTTTTTATTCATTGTATTTACCAGCTCTTATGGAAAATAATGAATAATGCTGTTAGATAATAAATTCGCTTCAGTTTTTCAATGGAATTCTTAGTCATGAAAATAATATTATATTGACGTACTACTGGGAACTTTCATTTATCTTAATCGTTTTAGTTGCTTATTCTTGCTGTAAAAAGGTTGAGATATTTAAAATACAACATTATTAAAGCAAAAAGTAATTATTTTGAGAATTAAATATATTTAATATTTATACTCCAGAATAATCAATCAATTATTCAGTTTTAAAATAAATTTACTTTATTCTATAAAACAAATATGTTATATATTATTATATACAGGGTGGCCAACTGAAAACGAAACAGAGCCATTTTCAGGAACTGCGTCAAGATTGTAGAAAAACGCTCAGACCCGTCGATTTTAGATTAAAGGGGGACATTCTTTGCTGGTATTTTTGACTCCGCCACTTTCACCCCCAAGCAAGGGTAAGCATCACCCCAAAATATTTAAATGGCATTGGGGGTTGAGTAATATTTCTTTTGAAAGCTCTTACAATTCTCTTTACAACAGACTTTAAATTTTATAATTCCGCCCAATACTTATTAAGAATTTTGATTTTAAAGTTGAAACTTATGTACAAACAATTAGTAACGGTAAAAATGTCAGTCATTCGAGTTAAGTACGCCAATGGTATAAATTTAGTATTTCTTGCGTTACATTGGTTTTTGGCGATTTGTTATCACTTTCGTAAAAAAAACACAATTGTAAAAAACAGAAATGAATGCTATACACACACAATGAACGTAAAATTAGTGGATTCCAAATTATTTTCTAGTATTATTTGGAAGCGTTGGTTGGTAGTTTATTTAATTGTGTTTTTGAAAATTAAACACTATGGTTTATTCCATTGCGGAAAGGGTAGATATCATTTCGCTTTACTTTATGAACAATAAATGTGCGAATAGAACAGCTCAGCTATTTATTGAACAACATCAAGATCGACATGTCAGGAGGAAGTATGTTCTAGAGTTAGTAAAAAAATTTCAAGAGACAGGGTACGTACGCCAATAAAAAACGAGAAATTGAAAAACTTATAGTTAATGAAGCTAGTGAAGTTGCAGTTTTGGGGCAAGTTCATCTTAATCCTACATTAAGTACGAGGCAGCTGGCATCTGTGTTTGGGATCAATCGAACTAGCATGCAAACCATTTTGAAGAAGAATAAATTCCATTCATACAAATTACATTTAGTCCAGGAACTTCATGAGGATGATTATTATGACCGCCGTTTGCAATTTTGTGAAATAATGAGTGAGTGAGCAGGGAACGATCCACAGTTTCTTTTTAATATTTGTTTTTCTGATGAATGCAGTTTTTTCTTGAACGGGATGGTAGGTAAATCGTCACAATTGCCGCTATTGGTCTGATTCAAACTCAAGAGTTTTTCACGAGGTGCATACACAGCAGCCGGAAAAATTAAATGTATAGGCTGGAATTTTCGGTGACCGGCTGGTAGGTCCTTTTTTTCTACCTGGTAATTTGACTGGCCAAATGTATTTGCAATTACTGGAAGACGCTATTGACCCTGCCTTGACTGATATTATTGAAAATGTTCCAGAATCGTTGAAGATCGTTTGATTTTTCAACAGGACGGTGTTCCTCCGCCATTTTGCGTTAATTGTCCGTCAGTATTTGGACCAACGTTTTCTACGGAATTGGATTGGGAGAAGAGGCAGTATTGAGTGGCCTCCACGATCATCGGATTTATCGCCCCTTGATTTCTTTTTGTGGGGATACCTATAAAGTAAAATCTATAAAACACAGCCAGCGCCGCTGGAAGATTTGCCTCAAAGAATCGACGAATCACTTCGAAAATGCTTCGGAATGTGCGCGAACGTTTCGAACAAAATCTTTATTCTTGTATGGAAGCGGGCGGTTATCATTTTGAACATTTAATCAACTAAGTAGTAAGTAAGCAACTAAACATAATTTAAATTGTAAAATGTAAATTTTTTTATAAGTATTGGGCGGAATTATAAAATCTAAAGTCTGTTGTAAAGAGAATTGTAAGAGATTTCAAAAGAAATATTACTCAACCCCCAATGCCATTTAAATATTTTGGGGTGATGCTTACCCTTGCTTGGGGGTGAAAGTGGCGGAGTCAAAAATGCCAGCAAAGAATGTCCCCCTTTAATCTAAATCGACGGGTCTGAGCGTTTTTCTACAATCTTGACGTAGTTCCTGAAAATGGCTCTGTTTCGTTTTCATTTGGCCATTATAAATTAACAATGAACTCTACCAGTTTAGACATTTCGATGATATACAAGGTCTAACTTTAAGAACAGTTTTTTAGGAGCAATACTACATGTTCCCTGAATACTAATCCGAAATTCTTATTTTTTTTTAAATCAAATGAATAGTCGATTTATAATTAGATTTTTAAATTGCACCATAATACGTATTTACTGGGCAGCGTAAACTAGCGTGGTAAATTATTTCAGTGCACTATCAGCGTTGATAGAAAAACAGATTGCTTTTGTATGGTTTAGCGACGTGTCATTTTAATGTCAACATATTTCTATGATATCAACGTGGACGAAGCGCCGAACATAAAAAAACAAATTACTTAAAAAAAATATATAAAATTTATTGAATGCTACTATAAACTATAATAATATGATACGTAGATAATAATTGTAAATAAAACTAATTTGTGCTTTAAAATAATTACTTTCGTCGTTTTAAAAAATGTACGTAATAAAAAATTAACTAATTAACTGAATAATCTGATTGATATGAAATATTTTTTTTAAATGGTTTCTAGGTTTTATAAATAATTATGTATTACTTTTTTTTAAGCAGTGTATGTGTTTTATCTCAGTGTTAATGACTTCTGATATTGACCTAGTTTAGTTGAACTATACTACTACTACTGGCAATAGTAAGTTAAAGGTAGTTAAAACAGGTAAATTCTAAACAAAATACGGTATGTTTTTACTTTCTTTTCTTATGTCAGGAGCAAAGAAAACAATGTCAGATATATGTATCTGGGGATAATATATCCCGACTTATAAGTAGCGAATAAGAAAATGTTTATAAGGTTACAGGATCTTTGAACGTCAATACGCTACACGCTACAATACTTAAACATTAGCCACAGTACTTAAAGATTAGCTACAAGATATCAAGTATGTCATATGCTGTAAGAATTAGGTAAGTAAACAGATTATTTACTTCTTTTTGTGTATTTGATTTATCCTTATGTATTTATTACTGTTTAAGTTCTCTGTTAGATTACTTGTTAGCTGCCGTTTCATAGTTTATCTTATTTAAAATAATTATTAAATTTTCGTTTATGTGTATGTAGTATGGCTCGTGGCGGACACTTATTCAATAAAAGTAACGCTACTTCACGAGTGGTGTAGAAATTTGCCTTTTAATAAAATTTGCCCTTTAAAAACTTTTAAATTATAAGATTTGACAACAATGCATTGCGTAGTTTTCAAGTGTGCATTCGCTGCGACTAGCGCACTTCCTTGTTTGAGGTCAGACTGGTTTGTCCAGCATTTGTCCAAAAGATATTTTGAATAGAGATAGCTGCAGCAAATCGAGAAAAATATATCTAAACAGTAGTAATTGATTTAAGTTGTAAATATTATGCTTAATGTGAGAGTATGCTTAGGTACTCATGTGTTGTTTCTTTTATTTTTGGAAAAGGATCTGAATTAGCTAAGTGCCAGAGGTCGCTCCTGACGACAGCCAGACCCTGACTTGTGAGCATAGTAAGTGTTTTGTTTATTTAAAATTAATTATAACTGTACAGTTATCTTCAATGGTTCGTGCTAACAAATTTTCAGAAGTGGGATTGCATTGAATAACTGAGATACTTTTAACTGTCGCATGTCGGTGAGAAAGGCATGAACATAGGAAAACGTAGTCGACAAACTGGAGACCCTCCTGCAAAAACGACACTTGCAAATCTATGTGGTTTATCTGAGGTTGCATCTGAAACTATGCAAAAACTGGTTCCCATTGCTGAAACCGCAAGTGAGTCTAGCGAAAGTTTGAGCGCAGTTGATCAACTTGCAAATGTCATGCGTGATATTTTAACAGTTGAGAAGTCAAAGTCAAAGACCGTCTACCTCAACTGGTTTTAAATGCGATGCCGTCCCTTATTTTGATCCAGAGGATAATCAGCAAGATTTGGTCTTATGGTGTAATAAGATCGATGAATTAAAGGTGGTATTTCATCGGTCGAAGGGTGCAACAATTTATTATGTCATCGCCAAACTTCGGGGATTAGCCGAAACATGGTACCGTAGTCTTAAATTTGTTAACTATTCTTGAAAAGAATGGAAAGATAAATAACAGCATGTTTTTCCAACCACACGGAATTATGCTGATAGGCTGGAGGAAATGATGAAACGAAATGAAAGTTCCGTTGAATCTTATACACGTTATTATTTTGAGAAGTTATCGTTAATCAATAACATAGTACCGACGCCGTTGCATCTTTAATATGATCAAGTCAAAACATCTGCTCAAGCTGAGAGTTATGCTGAGACCGAACAATTATTTCAAACATTAAAGCAAACCTGATCCAACCAAAGATTCTAGATGGGATAATAGAAATGTTTTACATGTGAAAAAATTGACGCTTTCCAGTATAAGAAGACTAATACCATAACCACTCAAGTCAGTAGCTTCTGCCACAAGAAAGGGTACGATGAGAATAGGTGCTTTGCCAAACCAGTTAGGTGCTAGGGTGTGGACTTGTATAGTAGATGAGGAACCGGCAACAGAAAAGGTTTTGGTCATTAGTGCAAAGGATTTACCTGACTTACCTTTAAAAGACATACGTAATCCATAAAAGATCTTGAACGT